TTAATAGTGTTTGTTAGAAGAAATGGGCTGTTGGGTTGTCAGAGGAAAGGTTTGTGAGTTAAAGGGGTCTGTCAGTGCACTGCTGACAGAGAGCAAGGTTGAGGTTACACAGGCAACCTTAAATAGATGTTTTCTGGCTTTCACAGTGTTGTGTTTTGCTCAGGACAGAGGCCTGCAAGGGGAGCAAATATAGGATTGCCAGGTGTCCAGTTTTCAACCAGAACACCTGGTCGAAAGGGGACTCTGGCAACTTAGATATGCATCAGCAACCAGGACACTAAAAGTTGAGTCTTCACCTCAGCAAAGCTAAGACAGTCCGTCTGGCCCTGCACATTTCCTGGAAGTGGCCAGCGTGTCTGACTCTTAGGTGCAGAGATGGCCATGGATGCTCTACATACTGTCCCTACCCTGTACGCTGGCTCGACAGCTCCCATTGGCTGGGAAACTGTTATTTCTTTCCAGGGCTTACTTCTTCATAAACCTTGGCTCAAATGACCTCAAATGTAGTTTACTAACCCTGTTCTTCACTCCAACAAATTTTGGGGGCAACCAGCTGGAATAGAAGCATTTAGAAGCATCATACTTTAAACTGGAAAGATAAAGGGATAAAGGAAGAAAAGGAATCTTCTACGCTCCCATCTGCAGCATAGGAGGGTCTGGGACATGTGAAGTGGCCCATTCGTCTCACTGTGATGTTCAAATCCAAGTGAGAACTCTATGAAGATTAATATAACCCAAAACCATAGCTCTGAGGATGTGTGAACTGTTCCCTTCATCTCAGTGGGTGCTCTCATCTGCTCCTGAGTGCTTTACAGCCTGTGATAAAAAAAAAATGACCATACCACATCAAACCATCAGTCCATCTAGCCCAGTATCCTGTCTCCGGTAGTGGCCACTGATAAAAGTTTTGGCGGGGAGGAACAGAACAGGGCAATTTATCAAGTGATTCATCCCTTGTTGTCCAGTCCCAGTTTCTGGCAGTTGGAAGTTGAAGGACACCCAGAGCATGGGTGTGTGTCCCTGGTCATCTTGGCTAAAAGCTATTCACGTATCTATCCTCCATTAGCTTATCTGTGGGCATGTTTACACATGCCGTGGAAAAGCTGCACCTCTGCAGCATGTCTGGTAAAGGCGCTCTGTGCCGATGGGAGAGAACTCTTCTATCAGCCTAATAAGCCACCTCCACAAATGGCAGTAGTTGTGTTGGCGGGCGAAGTGCTTCCCACTGATGTAGCACTGTCTATACCAGCACTTACGTCAGTGTAACTTGCATTGCATTGGTTTCAATTTGTTGAATTTTGTCTATTTTGACCCACTTCACATCAAAAATTTTCTCTCTCACTCTTGGGGCCCCCTGCTCAAATAACTCCAAACTGGGGTCACTAGCCCTATCCTATACCCTCCTGAGGAATGCCAAATCTCAAAGAAAACTGATTGAGCATGTTGATTTTAGAGGGGTAGAAAGGTTGACTTTTAAACAGATGTCATGATACCACATTATCTATAGTGGTGCTCCTGAAATGGTGGTTGTGCCTCATAAATATAGACGTAGGTTTCTGAATGCTCTTAGGTGACTAAGAAGGGATTTTTAAAAGCATTGACATGCTTTATACCCGTCAATGAATATTATGTACCTAGGTGCTTTTGCAAGTCTTATGAGGCACCTAAATACCTATTTCCCTGATTGCACCCACACAGGTCTATATATTAGTACTTCAGCCAGCAATTTATTGCCCTTGCAAAACTGAAAGCTAGGTTGAAGCCTTTTTTAAAATCTGTCCCATAAATCTTTACTTCTGAGGGTAAGGTAAAAAATTTTTTTAATAGGGATGTGATACCATAGCTGGAAGAAAATGCCATTGTTACCATGACCTTCATTTGGAACTCCGTAGTGTACATGTTATAAAAATGAGGGTCCTGTGCTCTTATAAGAGGAGATCTTTGTACTGGCCATGGAGTTTTACAGTTTGCAAGGATGGTTGCATAACAGATGCCATGATGATGTATGTTGTGCTATGATAACTTGGTACAATCACTTTTTTTCACAAGGAATGGTGGTTTCTCCCATGCTAACATGTTGAGCTGGACACTGGTAGTGATCCCTATTTGCTGAGTCATACCGGAGTGAGATTATATTTCTTTGGAGCAGTGAAGGGCGGGCTATATTTTGGGCCATGTTATGTGAAGATTATAAAATCACATCTCTAAAAAATCTCTTCCCCACCCCCCTGCTGTTGTCAGGAGTAGTTTAATAGCACTGCATAGGGCCCTTAAATCCTAAGGACGGCCCTGCTAGGAGCAGCTTGAGGAGAAGGCTTGAGCTAAATTCTGTTATCTTGCTGTTTAGTTTTTCAGCTTAAGAAAAACAAATCCCAGGAACAGGGACATCCCAAGGAGGGTACAGTGTCTATGGCAATGCCCCCAAATACCACAGGGCCTGGGGCATCCCTCCTCCCACTGTAGGTCTTGCCCCCCCCCCCTAACCCCTGCCACTACTCCACCCCACCCCCTTGCCTTCTTACCCAAGCAACACTGTCTGGGAGATTATGGGGACCTGGCATAGCAGCAGCAGGGATCACCTCCCCCCATACACACACTCACCACATGGGCAGCGGGAGCTGGAGTGGCCTGACAGCCTGCTCTGCTCTGCCATTCTGGCCTCTGCTCCCCACTTCTCCATGGTGGTGGGACCTTGAGCACCCTGGGACTGGGCACTCTGCTTTCCGATGCCACTGAGAAGCTGCACGCAGGAGGCTGGAAGGCGGCACAGTGGAGCAAAGCAGAACAGGCTGCTACCATACCAGATCTTGTATTCCTATAGGTCCCTTCCATCCATAGGACAATTGGGGCAGCCACTACGGGGGCCCCAAAAGAGTAGAGCCTGGAGTGTCTGCCCTGAATCATCCTATGGGTGCCACAGCTTTGCCCAGAAAGGGCATGAACTTGGACTTCACTTGCTGTGTGGACTAGGTCTTTAGAGTCTATGGCCAAGTCTACATGAGACCTGGAAGGTCATCTTAAGGTATACAAATCCAGCTACGTAAATAACATAGCCAGAGTTGGCTTACTTACCCCGAAATTAGCACCATCTTCACAGTGGGAGGTCAATGGGAGCAAACACTCCCATTGGCTTCCTTTGCTCCTCGTAACTGTGAGAAGCACCAGTGCCATCTGGAGGTGCCTCAGTGTTTGATTTAGCAGGTCTTAACTAGACCTGCTAAATCGATGATAAGAAGATTGATTTCTGGCATGTAAGTATAGACAAGGCCTATGTGTGGGAAATTCTCGTCACATTTCTTTTGGTTAACTGCAGTTGTATTGAAAACATAAAAGAGCAATTTTTCAGCTATAGTCTTATTGGAGATCAGAATGTACCTTGTATCAAATGAGGCTATGTATAAATTTAGATCTCAGATTTGGGTCCTTATAGTTTAAAATGAAAAGTGAGTGGGTTTTTGGTTTTGTTTTGTTTTGGTTTTTGGTTTTGTTTAAGAACTGGTCGAATCAAATCTTCACTGCATATCAGATTCCAATGTAAAGTTTACCTTTAGAATTAATGAGGTTAACTGTGAAGCCAATAGCACTGTTACAAAATAGTAAATCATTTGTTCATTTCAGCAATACTGTCAATTTCACATCTCAGCATCAATAACATTACCACTGTCTTCATTCAAGGCAACAGTTTGGAGCAGAGTTAGTTTTCATGCCAACATCTTATTCTTATATTTTGATCGAAATTAGCAGAACAATTCCAATATTTCAAACATCACTCACTACACTGGCAGTTCCGTTGCTCTAATCACTGACTGCCAAATCTGCTTTTGGTCACTAATGCACTAAAACATTGCTAATGACATGGAGGTATGACAAGATAAGAACATTCTCATAATGAATGACTCCACAAAAGCAAAGTGGCAAAAGTAATTATAGAATCACATGGACTGCTGGCCCTGAATTGTCAGAGACATCAAATTTCATGTACTGCTAAAACAACATTGAGATAACCTTATGTTCAGTAGAAGCAGCAGTTATATCACATGAGTAAGTCAGCTGACATTTGCTTCTGTTAACATGAAACAATTTGCAGGAAAGAAATAACTTTAATTTCCCTCTATTAATTAGGCAAATTAATTAAATTCATCTTCAGTATTCTGCATATATTTCATATTGAAGAATAGGTTTCTGCAGAGATTCTGCTAAATGGTTCCGAGAAGGCTTATTAACCCTGAGATGAATTCTATCAAACCCTATAAAGCACCAGCTTCAAGTGCATTTATGAAGAAAAAGGCTTTTGAAATCAGATAGGAGAGCTGCAAAAGTGTGGCATATTATCATAATCTGGATAATGTTTAATTTGACACTCTTATGTCAAGCTATTAGCACAGAGAATGAACACATGGTCTGATAAAAATGTACTTAAAGAATGACAATCCTTATAACCATTTAATTTTAATTTTCTCTTATGATACATTTTTCTACAGAAACCCCTATTAGACAATAAATAGGATTATACTATAATTCTATCAGCTATGACAATACAAAACATTGTCTTCCTTAACTACTCAAGGAATGTTCTATTAGACCAGCATTTCAACAGCATATCCATCTCCATTATAAAGTTGAATTGTGCCTGTAGGTGCCTGATACCATCACCTTCATCACTAAAAACATTTTTTATTTGTTTGTTAATAGCAAGTGTCAAATATACAGGGCCTGATCCTGAAAATCCCCCTTTCTCAGAATGTCTGCTGACGACAGTTGCTCAGTCATGAGTCCTGCTGTGCTTCCTTTGTTCCAATCCAGACGGAACTTCCCAAGTAGATGCAGAGAATGTTCAGCCAGTTCCAAAGCCACCACTCTCCATCTACATTGTAGTACTGATCAGGGAAGAGGCATGCTGTGCTTTGACAGCCCCTTGAGAGTGATAGCCAATCAGTGTCGATCTGAACAGTCCCAAAGAGCCTCAGGCCTGAATCAAAGTAGAACCAGCTCAGAAGCAGGGGGCTACAATTGGCGGTCAGGTGGCCACCCATGAGCTGGGCCCAGCTGTGAAGCTGGACCATTTTTCCTCTGGAATAAAACACTGGGCAGAGATGCAAAGAACACCTGAGTCAGTTCTGAAAGGGGTGAGTCCAGCAATATTATCTGTGTTTATTTATAACTCTACTTAATTTAAATGTCACTGGTTATGACTGTAAAGTTTTAGCATAATAAATTACTCTGGTTTTCATCCACGGTTTCCTTCAATCCCCAACCATATCGAATGGCAATTTTGCAGTTAGAGTTCTTACAAGTGTGGACAAAAGAACTTTATCCTGTTCCCTTGAAGTCAATGAGCAAACTCCCATTTATTTTAAAGGTGCAAGATCAGACCTAACAAAAAGAAATACTTCAGTTAGCTACTATCCTGATAAGTTGTACTCATCCCACTGGCATTTGCATTAACTACATGAAATGAAGTACTTCAAAATACATATGCAATTGTATGGCTGCTTCCAAAAATCACCTCAGTGTGTTCTGTGCAATATCACAACTCAGGGAATTTAACATGTCATTCATTAATATTGTGAAGTACTTCAGAGGAGCTATGAGGGATTCGAATATGCTTGGTTTGGATGGAACCTATAGAGACTTTTAATGCCAATCTGTAACAAGACTCTGTTGATCATACGCAAATAGAGATTTTTTTCAAAGGTTTATTTTTCAAAGTTTGGCCAAATTTGGTGGATTTTCACAGGCATAACAGAAGACTGTTCCCTGACCTGAGGTTGAACTGCCAAATTTTAAACCTCTGCTCCACAGCATAAAATGGCAGTACAAAGTTTTTTTCACCTAGACAAACATATTATTTCCAGCCTCGCCCTCAGAAACAGTTGAGCTGCTATGGGTGAAATCTTTCCAAAAAACTCAGCCTGTAGTAGACAACCAGCATGGAAATTTCCGTCTAGCTGATTAAAGACTGACAACTACAAACAGGAGGCTATAATGGGAGGCATCAGACAATCTTAATGACTGCTCCAGCTGAAATAGTGCTTTTGGGGTTCAGGAAGAAGTGAGGCTAGGAAGAAACTGCTTCTTTAACCTCTTTTTTGTCTCTCATAGTGATTTGGACTTCATCTGAGGGATGGAAAAGGGTTAATCTACCTAGTCAAGTTCACACATCCCTACTGACAATTCATCTCCACAAGACAATTTTCTGGTAAGTTTAGTAACATTTATAATATATGAAAATCAATCTTGCTGTGACACCCCAGGTCGCCCCACGGCGTCCCCCCGGCTTCTCACCCCTATAACACTGCACCAATCCTTTTAGTTTCCTCCCAGACGCGCTTGTCTTCGTTTTCCCGCTCCCTAGCAAGGCGGGAGGGGAAGGGGGGCCCGGGCCCACCCACTCTCGGGGGCCCGGGCCCACCCACTCTCACGGGCCCCCGCCCTTGCCCCGACCCGGCTGACGGGGTGTGCCCCCTTAACGCGTCAGCCCACCAGTGCCTCCTAACTCTGCCCTGGGCTGCTTCCTTCCCCTTGCCGTGGCAGCGCTACCTGGCACCGGGTCTCTCCGACCGGATTGCTCCCCGCAGATAGTCGGTGCCCACTCAGGGGCACTGGGGGGGGATGGGTCTCACGCCTG